CACCTGTGAGGACCTTCCTCCGAATTAATGCGGATAGGAATGGGTTTTTGAATGTTATTCCCGCCGTCTGTGTCGGAAAAAAGGTATGAAATTGATGTGAATTGATTTGGTGAATGAAAAGTTGAATGCGCTTTTTATTGTCACCGGTCTTTTTATGAGGAAATGCCTCTAAATTATATCGGGAGATTTTAAAAGGTCACAACTTAATTGGGCAGTTGAAATTAAACATTTTGGTAATAAATGTAAGACTGTGAATTAAAGTTTCATATTTGAACATGATCACAGCATTTTTTTTTTTTTAGTATGATTATAATGTTGTAAGAGAGAAGGTAAAAACCCTGTATTAGTTTGGACCTATTTTTCTTCAAATAAACTGATCCTACCTTTTGGACTGGGATAACTTAAAGACACCTGTGCTCTCCTCTCCTGCTTCAAAGGTAAGACTGCACCCTGCCACACACACACTTGGGTAGGAACACACTCCATTTACTGATATCAAAATCCTTCGGGATCCCTTAAACAGATTAAAAAAGAGTTGTCTGAATAGAAACAGCAGTTAATTGAACCTGGTTCTTCGGGGAGTTAATAGAGGTGAGATCTTGCTGACGTTGGTGGATCTGAGCCAAGCAGTAAACTTACATAGACTCAATAACTTCGGTCAGGTCAATTAGTAGGTCAGAGTAATTTACCGGAATAAATTATCAGGACCTCGCCGACTCTAAACAGTAGATAGTAACGAAGTAGTGTAATATATTACTTTTTTTTTAAAAAGTAATGTGTAATATATTACATTTTTTTTTAGTAACGACCCCATCTCTGGAGTTGGCGTTCTCTACTCTGATTTACATGAAGAACAACCGGAGGTCACGGCTCTCTGTTGAACAGGACTTGCGAGTGGCCCTCTCCTCAGTGCCACCAAGGATTCGAAAATTCTGCGCGCCCCGACAGACACATGTATCTCACTAATTTGTAAGTCGGCAAAATATTTACAATAGCACATGTTTCAATGCTGATTGCTGAAATGTTACATTTATCATTTGTAGTTCAGGACCATGCAGTGCAGCTTCCTTGCATTGACAGTTCTCTGTGCTGAATTTCTGCTGAGTTTCCTTTGCCTCATTTTTAATGTTGTGACCTGTCTGGTTTAAATGAGTGTGTTGCTGCTTTGATGAAGCCTAATTTGATAAAGTTTCAAATTAATTTCTGAAATATTTCGTTAATAAATATTTCATGAGTAATATAGTTGTCTTTGTCACATTTTATTTGGGATTAGTAAATAATTATGCACATTTACAGATATTTTACATGATATGAGTGATAACACGTGTTATAAGGGCTATTTTGCACAATAGGTGTGCCTTGAGATTTGTACTTGTCCTTTGGTGTGCCTTGGGCACAAAAAGTTTGGGAACCACTGCCTTACAGTCACAGAAAACAGCCAGAATGAAGATGAGGTCCTTACAGTCACAGAAAATATGACCTCAAATGAGAAACACAAAGCTCTCCTGAAACTACACAAACAGTTTGGTCACGCCTCCGCAGAAAGACTACAGCGACTCCTCCGCAGTTCGGGAAATAAAGACAAAGATTGTGACACTATTTTACAACAAATAGTACAGGAATGTGACATATGCCAGAGATACAGCAAGACCAAGCCGAAGCCTGCTGTGGGCTTGCCTCTGGCTTCAGAGTACAATGAAACGGTGGCAGTGGACCTGCACGAGTTGGAACCAAGTTTATGGTACCTCCACATCATTAACCAATTTACACGTTTCAGCACTGGAAGCATTGTGAAAACAAAGAACTCCTCTGTGATGGTGAACTCTTTCCTTCATACATGGATCAGCGTCTACGGCCCACCACGGAGACTTTACAGAGACAATGGAGGACAATTCAACAATGCAGAGTTCCGTGACATGGCAGAGAACTTTAACATTGAGACAAAAACCACGGCAGGATACAGCCCCTGGAGCAATGGGCTACTGGAGAGACACAATCAGACCCTCACCGACATCATCCAGAAGGTCAGACGGGAAAATGGATGTGACTGGCAAACAGCCCTAGACTGGGCTCTCATGGCTAAGAACAGTATGCTCAATGTGCACGGCTACAGTCCTCATCAACTGGTGTTTGGCCAGAACCCCAACCTTCCTTCTGTACTGGTTGATAAACCACCTGCGCTAGAAGGTACCACTATGAGTGCTAGAGTAGGAGAGCACATTTCAGCCTTGCATGCCTCTAGAAAAGCATTTACTGAAGCAGAGTGCTCAGAAAGGATAAGACGAGCACTACGTAAGCAGCTCAGACCCACAGATGAGAAATATGAGATGGAGGACAAGGTGTATTACAAACGAGCTGAATGCACTGAGTGGAAAGGACCAGGGATAGTTATTGGTCAGGATGGGGCTGTTGTTTTTGTGAGGCATGGTGGTTGCCTAGTGAGAGTCCATCACTCTAGGCTTTCCAAGGTGAACACAAAGGTTAATGAAGAGCAAATGGTACAAAATGATGCTGACACAGAAGCAGGAAGTGAGCAAGGTATAAACAATGCAACTGGTAGTTTAGACAGTGAGCAAAATACAGAGAATGAACAACAGTTCGGTGACAGGGAAGCCAATACAAGTGAAGCGATCGATCCTCCAAACACTTTGAGTAGCGTAACACAAACTGAAATGGCGCATAGGCCTAATGCCCATAATAATCCTGCCCCTTCTGCAGGTGTGAGTTTAAAAACAGGACAGACTGTAACATATATGAACAGAGGTGACAATACTCTACTTAAATCAAGAGTCTTAGGGAGATCAGGCACGGCTACAGGGAAATATAAAACCTGGTATAACATGCAACATCTAGAGAATGATGGTAGTGATGGGCAAAAGGAATCAATTGATATCTCACAGGTTGATAATCTCAACATTGAAACAGAAGACAGAGAAGCTGATGTACTTGTAACCAAAGACATCTCATTTGATGCAGCTAAACAGGAAGAAATAAAGAACTGGCACAATGATAATGTATTTGAGGAAGTTGAAGATGCAGGGCAGAAATGCATTTCCACCAGATGGGTTTGTAGTCTTAAGGACACTCCCAGGGGTATAGTGCCTAAAGCCCGACTGGTTGCCAGAGGTTTTGAAGAGCTGAATATTCAAGAGTTACCGAAAGATTCCCCCACATGTGCCACAGATTCACTTAGACTTATGTTATCAGTGATATGTCAAAACCAGTGGGAAGTCCATTCTATGGACATCAAATCTGCATTCTTGCAGGGTATGGAGCTATCCAGGGATATTTATATCCGCCCCCCTCTAGAGGCAGGATGTCAACATGTTGTATGGAAACTAAAGAAATGTGTATATGGTCTTGCAGATGCATCACTATATTGGTACAACAAAGTGAAGGAAATCATGCTGAGTACTGGTAGTAGAGTGTCACAGGTGGATCCGGCAGTCTTTTACTGGTTGGATGAGCAATGTAAGGTCACTGGGGTGCTTGCGTGTCATGTAGATGATTTTCTTTGGGCAGGCTCATCAAACTTTTCATCCAATGTGATCCCCCAACTGCAGTCTGCATTCAAGGTTGGGCGTGAGGAGCATGAAAAGTTCTCCTATGTAGGAATGGATTTGGTAACTGTTAACGGTGAAGTTCAGGTACATCAACAAGCAAGTCGGGCCACACAGAGAAATGAACCCCTCAACGAAACTGAGAGAGAGCAGTTACGATAAAAAATAGGACAGATCCTATGGGTTGCTAAACAGACAAGACCTGATGTAATGTTTGATTCATGTTGTTTGGCTTCTAATATAAAAGGGGCAACAGTACAGTCTGTTCATGATGCTAATAAGATAATCCGTAAGCTAAAGTCTGAAAAGGTGACACTCAGATTTCAACATCTGGGAAACAGTGATGCTTTGAACTTGATAGTTTTCAGTGATGCTTAATTTGGAAACCTCCCAGACGGAGGTACACAGGGAGGTACTTTTATAACACTTATGGGAGAAAGAGGGAAGTTTTCCCCCCTCTGTTGGCATTCAAAGAAAATCAGACGAGTGGTTCGCAGTACCCTTGCAGGGGAAACTCTTGCCATGTCAGATGAGGTAGACAATGCAATTTTTCTAGCCACACTATTTTCTGAGCTCACTACTGGAAATGCTGGACTGAATGCACCCCCTGTACTCTGTGTGACTGATAACCACTCTCTGTTCGATGCGCTCAAGTCCACAAAACAAGTCACAGAGAAGAGACTCAGGTTGGAAATCAGTAGCATTAAGGAGCTCATTCAGAGCAAGAGGATCAAGCAGGTGCGTTGGTCAGACACAAAATCTCAGCTTGCTGACTGTCTCACAAAAAAAGGAGCTTCGGCTCTTGTGCTCTTAAAAGCACTCAGTGAAGGACAATGTGATCTGGGTTAAAGTGTCTGTTGAAATGGAACATTGAAAACACCTTTGTTTATGTATTTGTTTCTTAAATGTTTCCCTAATTTATGTTGACTACTCAGGGAATTTAAACATTTTTGTTTTAAGTCACTGTATGATTGTTTTATGATTCATGCAATGTAAAGTTATTTTTGTTTTGTTTATTTCTTTAAAAAGATAGAATGAGATTGTTAACATGTAATCTCTTTGCGTCTATACTACTGGCCATACGGTAGTCTAGGTTGCCCTCTTGAGGCTGTGAAACGCATGCGCAGTTAGTCTGTGTCGACCTGGAGCATGAGGTCCACTGTTCGTTAATGGCTCTGTATTGGTGTTATGCACGTTGATTGAATAAACCAAGTTAACAGAAGATAAACGTTGTGTTTATTTGTAGTAGAATAACAAGCCCTACCATAGATTACCCAACAAAAATACTCTGGAGCCGCCACTGGTTGTGCATATAACAATAAAGCCTTTGAATGTTGAATTTTAATAAAGCATGGAGGTTTGCATGCATGTATGTTACCCCAGTATGTTTTAGGTGTGCCTTGTACAGTTTATTACACATCCTCATGAACTTATGCTCACCTCCATCTCGTCTACTACACCAACATTTTCCTCCAAAGCAGGGCGGGTCCTGACTGCTTCCTGACCTGCGGGGGGGTGGAGGGTTTATCTGAGAGGAGTTATCAGACTCCATCTTGTCCTTGGAACGGGATGTTTCGTAGATCTCTGGCCGGCCCATGTCGTGAACCAAATGAGGCTGGACCCGCACTAACTCTGGCACTGAGTGGCGCTTGGTTCTGACTAATTCCTGGATGAAGTGTGCCTGGGCTGGGCCTTCATCCTGGAACACCCGAGCCCCAGGGGCGCTGAGGGGGATGACCCTCTGAGACGAACCCACTCTGAAGGCATCACAGCAGGCCAGCAGTGCTATGGGGAAAAGAGACAAATACATTGAAGATGATGATGCGGTGAAGCATAATGTCTTATTACAACAAAACAGGATGTCATTTTTGTTTCTTTGTATTTGATTGATCCCTCAGAGTTGACAACATTGTAAGCAGAAGTTTTACAGGGTAAAGAAAACAAAACAAACTTACAAAATCAGTTCTAAAACATACAATATATGATTGAAATTATAAAAAATATAAAGCAAAAACCATCATATCAAAAATATATATTAATTTTAGCTGACAACAGTTGGTACACAGGAGAATAGGAAATATCGGAATTACTGAAAACTTTCAACCTTTTCAATCTTAATTTCTTGCTTAACATTAATGAATGGATACATAAAAAAGAGACGGTACTGTAAATCGAATACAAGCCAATATATTTGATTTCCTTTCAGTTGTTTGGTTAATAATGTTTATTACTCAAGCCATGTTAAGAAATCAATTACAGGGTCAAAACAAATCAAATGAATAGCAAAAAACAGTCAAGGTCAAATTGAGTGGATTGACAGATCTAATGAATGTCACTTGTTCCCTAAACAGATTTAATGTGTTGTGTTTTTGTTACCTAGCAGAGAGAACAGCCATAACACTATGAGCACTCTGTTGTCTGCATTATACATTAAGTGCCTTTATCTCCCCTCCGAAAGAAACTACAGTGGTAACAAGCCATTCATTCTCTCATTATTCCTATACAGTGGTGCAGCGATGACACATGTTTTAAGAACAAGTTAGTATCACAAAATCTCCCTTGACAAAATCCAATACATTTTTCCATTGGATTTTAAAATATTACAGGAAATAATAAGCTCTATGGCAAACATACATTTATGAAATGTACACGTTATGTTCAGCCGGATAGTCTCCACATATTGAAGCATAAATGCAAATTATTTCATGTCACCACCGCTACACTAAAGGTGGCTAATGTTTGCTGTGATGACGTTTAATTGTCTATTCATTCCTACATTAATTTATAGTTTCAAGTTTCAAGTAATTATTTGCAGATTTGTTTAACCAAGGCTGAGAGATGCTGCAGTGTACATTGTTCTTTGTTTGTTTGCTCATAAAAAAGAAAATAATTTTTAAGAGTCACACATATTTCCACGTATATTGTTCTATTCGTTTTTCCATTGATAACATATCACGGCTCCACATTCACCTATTCTCGTGTCCATCTCTCCATCACTTATTCCCAGTCTCTCTCATGTTTCCCATGGTGCTCTCTGTCTGGGACCACAGATGGCTGTCTGACCTCAGGGTCTGACTGAGCAGATTTTCATATCATCGCCAACATGTCTGCAACACGCTAAGCTGTCACTACAAAGCCCCTCAGACATTACACTTCCTTCCTGCTGGCCAAAAGATCCCCCATCCCCCCTCCCAAAAAGAAAAGGCTGACTGACCATAGCTGATAAGCGTGAAGATATTGTTCTCTGGGACAAGAGGTCGAGGAGATAGAAAGTCGGAGACAAGGACGATACAGATTGTTATGATTAGGATTTGTGGAGCCCCTGAAATGACTCATCATTAGATAAAGAAGCTGTGCAGGATGAATATGAGGAGATAAAGGGGTCTTCAGTGTGGCGGCAGTGTGGACACATCTCTGTGTCCTGGCTGTTAGTCATGGTCAATTCTCCTGGATTTTGCTTCAATGAAACCTTCAGTATTGGAATACATCAGCCTCCACTCTCCAGCATCCTCTTGTTTTCCAGTTTATTGCTCTAAGAATTCACAGTAGCTGAACTGACTGCTGTTAAACTGTCTGATCTGTCTTCCGAATGAGAGCAGAAGATATTCCTCAACATCCTCTTCATCCTGTGTAATTTCAGCTGCCACCCGACATTCGTTGATTTGGACTTCCAAAGGCCAGTTTTAACAGGCCTTTCTCAGGACACCGAATTATTAACTGCTCACAATACCCTACTGATGCTCAGTTCAAATGTAACTCCTGACGGCTAATGATGATGGCTTTAGGAATGGGAAACCACGACATATTTTCATAGTTCTTTGTTCTATACTAAAATAGTAAGTTTATTTTTCTTACAAAAGATAAAGGTAAGAGAGATAAGATGACTTAATAGTCTTAAGTCAACAAAAATCTTACATTAAAAAATATGAAGTTGTCTAAATATGATGAAAAGGACATTTGGCTCAGGATTAAGACTAAAAAAGATAAATGAACACTACAGTAAACACAAATAATATAATTATAGGGTGGATTTTCATTAAAATTGGTCCAAATGTCCAGCTATTACAACATCAGTTCAATACAGGAAGATAACTTAACATCAGAAATTATTTGTAAGCGTTAAGGAATATAAAAGTTGTCTCCACTTTTCATCCATTCATTTCCCTGTTTGTGAAACTTTCAGTCCCACTGGGACCAGTGGACAGGTAATAAACTTCTGTTCCTGTAATGACTTACCCGAGACACACAGTGGGAAGTCATTATCACCAACTGGAACTTTTCTTGAATGAATTACAGAGGTGATAGGAGAGCATGTTTTAATCAAGGCATCTTGATTACTTCAGGTACGAGAGGACTCGTAGAAATATGAAGTCACAGCTCTTGTGGCCCTGTATCATCGAGGAGCAGATCTATTTTAAGGGAGGTGTCTTTTCACTGGAAGCCTCTGGTTAGACCTGGAGTCCAGTCAACACTGAAATATCTCAACATTTATTTGGTGGATTTCTACAAAATGTTGTCCAGACATTCATGGTCCCCAGAGGATAAATCCTACAGGCTTTTGTGATCCTCTGACTATTCCTACAGTATAGTGCCACAATCAGAGCATAATGTAAATTCCCAGCGAAGTAGCGACTCTCATCGACCTCAATGAATGGTTAACAATATACCTGCTAATTATTAACATAGTAGAATTTTCATTGAATAGATATCAGCACACTAACATAGCCTCAGAGCATTTAAAATTCAAAGAAATCTTAAAGATCAACTAAAACCGAAAACTAAAACAGATATAGGTTGTATTTTTTATTATCTGTTGTATATTATTTATTTATTTGATTTCAATATATTTTCTAAATGCTTATGTCTTGCCTCAGTTCTCCCCTTCCTTCTTCGAAATGTAACTAGATGTTAGCTTAAACCCTTAACTAACATTGAGAAAATGTTCCTGCATTTCACATAATTTATTACCTCTGTAAAAATGTTCTTAGTTTTGATATCCCTATTCTTTAAAGATCACCTATTATGCTATATTTGAAAAATATATTTTAGGGCCATACAAAACATGTCTCTGAAGTGTTTTGCTCAAAATACCAAACAGATCACCCAGCCATGCGCTGCTGCTGGCCACGCCCCTTTGGAGCTGCTGCTGGCCACGCCCCTTTGGAGTGCCATGCAAGCAGTGAGCTCTGTGAAGAGAGAAGTTTCTACTCAGCAGATACGTGCCGTGATGAAACGCCATATTATGTACCAAACCACATCAAGGATTATTTCTGAAACAGTATGGAGCTCAAATGCTTTCACTCTCACGGGTTTACCACAAGGTGAGTTCCTTTTTATATCCGGCTTCTTAACACATATTCTCTCCAGTGCAGGTTAGCTCTGTGTGTTAGCGATGCTTGCTAATGTAAACACAGACCATATTACTTCCAAAACACATCGTCCATTGTTTGTGATACAGCAACGTTTCTGATAGGGTCGTGGGCGTAAAGCCAGCCCACATTTCAGTAATGTCATCATGACCGCAGTAAACGTAAAATGTATTGCAAATGTATTATCTTTTCAATTTACACACGGCATCTATTGCACGTCTGTCCGTCCTGGGAGAGGGATCCCTCCTCTGTTGCTCTCCCTGAGGTTTCTCCCATTTTTCCCTTTAAACTGTGGGTTTTCTTCGGAAGTTTTTCCTTGTACGATGTGAGGGTCTAAGGACAGAGGGTGTCGTATTGTCATACTGATATTTTGTACAAACTGTAAAGTCCACTGAGACAAATGTAACATTTGTGATATTGGGCTATATAAATAAACATTGATTGATTGATTGATTGATTGATCAACCTGGATCAGCTCCGTTGTACCCCTGTTTTTAGAGATATGGGTAAGGAGGGAAAAAAGAGAGGGTTGCATTTTCTGACACTTTGTGAGTCTCCTTGCACACCGGGGACACATATTTATATGTAAAGCGCATTTTGTATAATAGCTGACCATTAAGGTAAAAACAAGAAGAACATCTGTTCACCAACAGCTGATTATCTGAACACTGATATCTCCTTGCAAACATATTGTAGACTTGTATTTCACCTTCAGAATGTGCTTAGTATAAAAACCAGTGGCCAATAAAATGTCCCGCATGTCGCATTGATCGCTGTGGATGACTGATCCAAGGAGAAGAGATGGAGGAAGGGAATTAAAGATGGAGGGATGAACAGCAGAAGTGCTGCGGTGGTTTAAATTCCTCCCTTTTCCCAAACCCTCAAAGTCAGCACTGTGCTGATATAACTGCACGTTAGTAAAGTCTGCGTGTGTATTTCTGACAACCCAAGTGCCAAAACGCGAAAGGAGATGACGAAAATCTAGTCGTGTTTAGCAGAGTCCAGAGCTGCTGTCTGTGTGATTATTTTGGAAGCAGCAGATAACACCATAAATAAATGTATCGACTCATTGATGTTTGAATATTTGGCTGAAGAGCGAGGACTTGAGAGAGGGTTTCAAATGTTTGTGCTGATGTAGCTTTCACCTTCCCAATGAGGTGTATTAAGAAAGATGGTACAGTACTACAAATGCACTGCAGTGAAATAAAACTACACAAATCAATATTTACAATGGATAAAAGGTCATAGATAAATGTACCACTTGCCTGTTAAGCTTTACGGAGCATTTTGGTTTTACAGCCAATAAAATGTTTTGGTTTTAGCCACATTAGCTTGCTGTTTTTAGCTATAACGCTATGATAAATACCACTAAAGCCAACCTTCTAAGCACCAGTAGACAGTCTGACAAAGTTAGCA